ATAAAGGTTTACCTGATTGAATACTTTAGAAATACTTTAGAACTACAAGATCAAGCCATTTGCATCGCTAGTAGTACAAATCTCGGCTTCAAATTTTGTAAGTATTCTCCTATTTCCTAGACATAAATAATTATAAGTAATTTATACTTGCAACATCAAAAAAGTGACTGTGTATATATCATATAACTTACATCAAGAATTTTAAACTCTAGTTATGTAAACTCTAACTACATCTACAACTTTCTCATTTTAGAAAGAGGAATGCTAACCTGGTAATAACTCCTCCAACAGTAGTGTCTGAACTTGTTACAAATGGATAAGTACCAAAGTCAAGGTCAAGAATTTGGCACCTTCAACAAGAATCTTTTTATTTAAATTTATAAATTTATGCATGAAAAGAATGCTATCAACAACGCAACGTAGGGTTTAATATGTATAACAAATCAAAAGCCGAAAATAATAATATTATTGATTTTATAATTGTATGGATAAACGTTCAAATATTAATAAAATTACCTTGTAACGTTCAACATCATATTCAAAATTTCCGTATCGTTTTATTCTATCTGTTACCAATTGACGAAAATTTCCTGCAAAAACCTTAATGTTCAAAAAATGATGAAAAGTAGACAGAACGTGAAGCTTTTGATGAATATGCTGGACCTTTATCCTTCTTCGTTGTGCCAATACTAATATTTTCAAATAAAAAAATAAGCAGAAGAACACTATAAAATCTATTTATTAAATAAATAAAACAAAAAAAAAAATACAACATTCTCATACCTTGCACCAACTAATCCAACTTCTTTAAAGCTATCAACAATTTGATGAAAGTCAAAAGCTAAATGAGCGTATCGGAAATAACAACTCATATGCTTATTTTTTCAAATATATTAAGATTTGTTAATTATTATTTATCGTGTTAGTGTTGGAGTCTATACAAGATCTTTAAAAAATAAGCTGTAACAAATCTCGAATTTAGAAAATTCATCATAAAAACATGATATTTATTTATTTATTTATTCTTATTTTGTAAAAATGTCAAAAAATTAATACTATATACATCTATTCTATATATACTTTATATCAAAATAAAGGATTTTTTTCCGTTTTTCCTAGTATAATATAAAAAATAAAAAAATACTCTTTAATCTTTTATTTTGAATGAAATTTTCATTTGCTTTGACAAAAACTAATACAAATAATTTTATAATAGATAAACATGATTTGATATAAAGAATCGGATAAATAAATCAATAAATATTCATTATAAAATTGCAAATTAATTATTTCTATACTACATATTATATTACAAATATTAAAATTATTTATTAACTTAATTTATTGCATAAACATATTCTCTATTCAAAAAAATCATATTTTCTTGTCTTACACTAAACCAATCCATAGCCACAAAATATTTAAAGAAAATCAAAAATCAATATTCAATTGTAAGGTAATAATAAGATGAAAATAAAAAAAAAAAAACTTACTAGGAACATTTATATAATCCTCAACTATTTTCACATAATTTCAGAAAGCCAGAGACATTTAGAAATATCGATTTTTAAACCTGGTAACTTTTTTCAAAAATATCTAAATCAGTTTTTTATATTAATAATTCTGTTAATTTAATTTAGTTGCGAATAAAATGAATGACATATTTAATTAATAATTAATGATTTAATTCTAGAGAATAGTTTTTGAACGTCCAGTGTTCAACCGATGATATTAAATTCAATTTGTAAGAAAAAATTCTAAAAACTTCAAAAATATACTCCTTATTCTTGTCTATAAGATTAATTAGTAACATATTTGATGATTTATTAGTAAATAATAAATTTTTATATGTAAAAACTTTTGATATTTATTTTTGGATTTTTAGAAAAAATCAATGTCAATCATTTTATCTTTGATATTTTTTTAAAAAATCTAAAAAAAAATTTGAAATTAATTATCGAAAGTTGTTACATATAAAGTTTATTATTTACTAATAAATTATCAAACATGTTACTAATTAATCTTATAGCCAAGAATGAGAAGCATCTTTATTGAATTTGAATTTTTTCTTATGAATTGAGTTTAATATCAATGGTTAAACACTGGACATTCAAAAATTATTCTCTAGAATTCAATCATTAATTATTTGCTTAATTTTAATTAAATATGTCTGAATGCTTTGCATATGATGTTTTATATTTTTAGTTTAATGTTACTAAATGTTATTTTTAGTACTTTAGTAAAAAAAACTTTCATATGTAAAAATAATTGACAATTATTTTTTGGATTTTTCTTTTATTTTTTAAAATTTTTAATAAATTTCAGTCATTTTTATTCATATCTAATTAAAGTCCAAATTTTCACTAGAAATTATGAAATTCTGTATAATAAAAGTTGTAGATATTGTTCTTGACTACAATTTCATATAAGATAGTTGGTATCTATCTTTAAAATCTATCAATTCTGGTAATGCTCAAAGATTAAATTTTTTATTTTTTTCAATTTTATTTGAAACATAATTTCTCTATGTATAGGTATTCAATTTTAATACAAAATATATTATATTGTGGCAACACAAATTGGTAATCAGGTGAAATATCATGGGATGATAATTTGTGACATTAGATAAACATTCAAATAATTGTCATCCCAGGTGAGATGACTGTTGTTACAGAATGAAAATATAATGATAAAATAATATTAAAAACACCTGCAATAATTTATAATAACCCTCAAGATAA